TTGACGTCGGTAGTGGGGAAATTTCTTGAATCAATTATAGCAAATAGCATCCAATCACATTTAGAGAAAAAACAAATTTATCTACGACTCTCATCATGGATTTACAAAGGGAAAATCTTGTATGACAAATCTGCTAACGTTATTTAGGAAAGTCTATGGGGTAGTAGATAATGACGAAAATTACGATGTTATTTACTTAGACTTCAGCAAAGCATTTGACAGAGTACCGCATCGGAGGCTTCTGAGAAAAGTTAAGTCTCATGGTATCGAGGAGAAAGTTTTAAATTTTATAAAATCATGGCTCACCGATAGAATACAGAGGGTGAGTGTAGATGGTTTTAAATCTGAGCGGGGCCTTGTAACTAGTGGGGTTTCTCAGGGGTCAGTACTGGGCCCATTCTTGTTCATAATTATCTACATAAACGATCAAGATACTGGGATCAGCAGTGACATAAGCAAGTTGCGGATGACACCAAAATGGGGAGGCAGATTAATTCAGGGCAGGATGCAAATGTACTACAAGAGGATTTAAATACACTGCAGGAGTGGTCAGAAAAATGGCAAATTAAATTCAACACCAAGAAGTGCAGCATACTTAATATCGGAAGAACAAATACTGTCAAGACACTTACGGGTACTTGTAAGCCCGGACCTTCGGCCTAGAAAACAGTGCATTAATGTTCAATCATGCGGCTCAGTTCTGGTGCCCTTATTATAGAATGGATATAAAATCACTGGAGTGGCGGTGCAGCAAAGAATAACGAAAATGATTCCGGGACTTAGAAACCTTCCCTATCAAGATAGAGTAAAGAAACTGAACTTGCATTCCCTAAAAAGACGAAGAGTACGGGGAGATATGATAGAAGTATTTAAGTGGGTGAAAGAATCAATAAAGGGGATATAGATAAGTTCTTACAATATCCGAGCAGGATAAGACTCGTGGCAACGGATTTAAGTTGGATAAGTTTAGGTTTAGGAGGGAGATAGGAAGGAACTGGTTCATAAATAGGGTGGTAGATGAGTGGAACAAGCTTAGCAACTTTGTAGGTGCTGGGAGGCTGGAAAGTTTTAAAAGGAGGCTAGATAGATTCATGGATGATAGAGAGTGGTTATAACTCTCGACAGGAGCTGCCATGCACAGGCCAACAGGCCTATTGCAGACTACTTATTTTTTTATGTTCTTTTTATGTTTTTATATGTGGCTTGCTGTTTCCTAGCTGGATTCGGTAAAATGCTACTCCGACCACATAGTTGGCACGGGCAATCCCCAATGGAGGTTCACGGCTTCAGAAGCACGATGAATAGTGTCCGTGTGGAATTTAACAAATCCTGGTTTGCTACTGAGGTATTGTATATATATATATATATATATATATATATATATATATATATATATATATATATATATATATATATATATATATATATATATATATATATATATATATATATATATATATATATATATAAACGAAACTCCATATTTTCATATAGATCTTTATTTTCCGCTTTACTGCAGTTTTCAATGTTTCCTTTACATCATATGGGTTTGTGAATTTTCTTCTTTATTTTTGATTAAGCTGTTCTTTTTTCATTGTGACTCCTATGGTGGCCATCTTAAAGAAGCTTTATTTGTTGTCATTAAAATTTGTTGCTTGGTTCTATAACAAGATGCATAAAAATGTCTCTCACGATGGCAAAATTGTGATATATGAAAATCTATATTTCTTTAATGAATTTTCATGTGAATGATCTTTATTATTAACTCTCCCATAATCGTGATACTAGACAAAGATATGCCCAGGAAGAGGATTATGAAGGGTCCTTGCATATGGACAAGTGTCAGCGCCTGATTTCTCTTGACGTAACCCTCCTGCTTGGCGGCCACTTCCTGGTCTTGCTTTTCTTGGTATTCTCGCTGTTTCCTGTGACGTTCTCTCCTGGCTTTGAGCAGCATGTCTGCAATCCATTTTTCGTATAGTCCAGCCTGAAATGAAGAAGTTTCTTTTATTTTAAAACCGTTATGAATGGATATGTGAGATACAATAAAAAGGCAAAGATGTATTTTTCTTGTGATAGGGCAGATGTTATGACAGAGATTAGAAGTTAGAAAATTTACTTTCTTTAATTTTTTTTTTACAGTATTTGTATTCAACTTGTTGAGAAATTGTCCTCAAGAAGGCTAAACTTACATACAGTGAGTACCTGTTAATGAGAGAAACTAATGTGGGGGGCACTGCCGCACATACTTACATGAAATTCAGCTTCATGAAGTAGCATTGTCAATCAACAAGTTATGAATATTGTTCATGATATATTGTGGAAATCTAATTTTCAAAAATTTGGAAATTTTGTTTTGGGTAAAGAAATTATCCTTCAGAATTTCATTAAGGGACTTTAGTATGTTGAGCATTGGTTCAGCTTCAAAACGTTGAATTTTGATTAATTAGGCCTACTGAAGGCCCACTTGATATCAAAGTACCTTTCTTATACTAAAAATAATGGGTGCAGTTATTTTGAGGGCAGTAGGATAATTAGTTAAAAAAAATCTAATTTATGTTGCTAGATTCCTATAAGCGAAATAAATGAAATTTTGAAATGTTAAACTCAAGGCCCGACCTAAATCTGTATTTTGACGCTCAAAGGAATTTTTTTTCTCCAAACCTTACGTCGTCCACAGTAGTTACCATACATAATGCTAGGGGGACTCAGTGACAGCGCAATTCATAAATCTTATTAAGAACATAAGAACATAAGAAAATAAGGAGTCTGCAATAGGCCGGTTGGCCTGTGCATGGCAGCTCCTGTCGAGAGTTACTACCACTCTCTATCATCCATGAATCTATCTAGCCTCCTTTTAAAACTTTCCAGCCTCCCAGCACTTACTACAAAGTTGCTAAGCTTGTTCCACTCGTCCACCACCCTATTTGTGAACCAGTTCCTTCCTATCTCCCTCCTAAACCTAAACTTATCCAACTTAAATCCTTTGCTACGAGTCCTATCCTGCTCGGATATTATACGAACTTTATCTATATCCCCTTTATAGATTCCTTTCACCCACAAGCACATTGCAACTCACCTCAACGATGTACAATATAAATTTATCCAACTGAGGTTTGTAGGGAGCGTCATGAGGTATGGGCCACGCTCCAAGACCCGGTAAAACGCTCTCTCTTCCAATGTACAGTTGTGTGCTGCCGTCCACCCTTGTAAAGTGATCAGCGATCATTTGCTTCAGATAGCGGCGTCCATCCATAAAAGCCTCGCTAAACGATCACAGACACAGACACAGTTTATCATACAGAAATATCATAATGGTAATAGCGGAATTCTGAATTCAATGCCAAAACGATTTTAAATATGTTGTTCTTGATTTCTTTGCGAAAAAAATGGTATTTTTCATTAACTGTTTTCTTCCATACTTTCTTTCTTAAGTCATTGTATTTTTTTTAGGTTTACTTCTACTTCCTGAACTTTATTTCTTTTTACTTATTTGGTATTCACACATGCTCATTTACTTCTACAAATGCAAATTTATTACAGGAATAATTAATGAATAATGATTAATGAGTAGAATTAGTGAGTTAGACATGAGTCAAACGAGAAGATTATCTTAAGGAAATATTTGATATGAAACAAAGTGGATGTGAATGTCTTATTAAACTTATTGGCATCAGGATTACAAATAAAAATCTGTTTAACGCCTTGTACAGGTAAACAACAACAACAAAAAATGAATCAATGTTATGATGGTTCCAAAAATGGGCTGTCTAAATATAATCTACTCACAGGTCTTACCGATACAGAGACTCACACCGTTCACACAAAGTTGTGAGTTATATGTACAGTAGCCATCTCTAATACCTGGTACAGCGACTGGTGAGATGTGGGATCTGTGTGTTTGTTTACATCATAATTATTACAATCCATGAATGGTCCTAAGGAACCTCGCAATAGTAGTCAGACTAAGGATGCTAGATAAACATCCCACAGAGATGCCACATCTCACAAAATGCTCCCACCATTGTACCAGGTGTAAGTGCAGGTGACTGTGCATATAAAAACATTTAACACCCTCTTAACAAACATTATGGTTAAGTTCTAATCGCAAGGCCACTGGAATTATTATTCCCCGACACACATAATAATACTCCACTAAATCTGATTCACACTAGGAACCAATAATTTTAAGAAGAGATGTATGAAAATACAGTTTGATGTATGTGCAATGTGCTTCATAAGATATTCAATCTTCACACTCGAATTTAATCTTGACACCACTACGAGTGAGATTAAATTCAAGCATGAACATCTTAGCCCTCATGCTCATGAACCTCCCTGTACAGTATGCACTGAACCATAAAAAGGCAAACGGGCTGCGACAACTATATAATTATCCATATCTAAGAGATAATTATGTTTCACTGACTATAGTAGAACATATTACAAAAATATATATATATATATTAGACCTACTTCTTCTCGGTTGCCTGATGTAGTCCAACACTGGTACTTGGTACTATGTCCATGAGATCGGAGAGGGCTTTAAACAGGTCGGAATCAGACTGCTTGAAGAATTGTCGAAACTCCAGTCCGTAAGGTGGCATGGTCACCCTGTAGTCGAGCGTCATACGACATGAGAAAATGCAACCATATATATATATATATATATATATATATATATATATATATATATATATATATATATATATATATATATATATATATATATATATTCTCCGTCAAGCACACAAATACGCAGAATTCGTAATACAAATATTACAGCCTGTTAGCAATATCCAGATTGAGCCGGCTGAGATAGACTCCACCCACATTCCCTAGACATTGCAGTGTTGCAGTGTTGAACAATAAAGTTTCTGCAACCTGAATCAATTGGTATTTCACCAGCAGCTGGTTAGCATTAAGCGTGTCGTCAGCGAATTACGAATTCCGGTGTCATCATACAGATTCCATATACGTGGATTTGGTGAAGAATTGGCACACGGCAGTTTTCGCCAGCGAACCAGCACCACCAGTGATAACCAATCATAGTTTTCTGATCGCCGGAGGAGGAACCTAACGCAACTGGGCGGGCTCGTCTCTCAACCGTGCCAGAAGCGTCATCTGCTGCCAAGGAAACCCAGCAGCGGCGCACGCATCTCAGGAAGAGGCCCCACCCACACTCCACTCAGAACTTTGAAGGATCACTTCTCTATACAGACGTTACACCTGCATAAATAGGTATTTAAATTACATAATTCTGCCACCATGAACACGTTCGAGAGGATATCTTCACAATCGATAGGTTCGCTCTGATAGATTATTTCAATGATAAAGTGTCGAATGTAAGATTAATGTATTGAAATCCTATAATTTACAGTAGTTTCAGGCGTCTGTCTTCTTATTGATAGTTTAATACCAATTGCCAATTCATATTCATTTGTCTTGTAAATGAGAGGCAAGTGATTCACTACTGTTAAGTATTCATTGACCAAGGGGCTAATAGACAATTTCTAAGTTTCCCATGTCTAATGTAGATGAAATCGAACGCCCAGCGCAACTATTTGCTGACAACCAACCCATCGATGATCAAGCCCAGATTGACATAGATTTTGAGTATGGAACACAGTTAAATGTGTCGGTAGGAAGTGCAGTGAGAAAGTTATATATTAACCATTTGACGACTTAAACCGGTCGCACTTTCACGGCCTGGTAATCACCATAGTACCTCACCCAAGTATACCAAAGCAGTTACCCCTGTTACAGGTGATAGTGTGTCTGTTGCTAAATCGGTAACAAACTCTTATTAAATCCAGCCTTCTGTTAAGAGTAAGAATACTAACTTGCTTAATGACACTAAAATGGCATCTTCTAACCTCACTAACACACCTAAAGCCGATAATGTTATTAATATCATGCAGCGCGGCGATTATGTTCGAAATTTCACGGACAAGACGAGATTATAGGTCGCACATTTTGTTCAGTATGAAGATAGCATGCGATTAGTCACATAACGACTGACGAAGAAAAGAAAGCATATGTACGTTCCCATATAACGCAGGTTCCTATGCAGGCAGTCGCGAAGGTGTTTGGTTTACAAAAACCCTGACTATGAAAAAGTTCAAGGAATGACGGCTTTTTGGGGGCAGGTGGTCACAGCTGGCCAACTGCAATGGATCTTCAGATGGTTGATCGCTGTATTCCAGGTATACGAAAACGAAACATCCGTTGACGCTAAGTTGACATCGCGGCGAGGTTCGCCAGACATGCAAGCGCACTCCTTCCGCCATCAGGCTGGCGTCAACCCACGGGGTGATATGCCGCCAGAAAAATGTGGGGAAACATTGATAGAACTGCACAAGTTTTCTTCCGTCCGTGTTCCTTTATATACGGGGCACAGGAAGTACAGTATGAACCACCCCGGATATGGTGAACACGCAAACAAGCTCTGGGTTCCCCAGGCTACGGGCCCCTTACTGGCGCAACCCCCAGTGACGTCACCGTACAACCCCAGCAGCTCCCCAGATGCCTCAGATGCTTCACCCCAGACTCTTACGCCACAATACTTAGCCCGACCGCCTTCCCCGCTTAAACATATAAACAGAAACATCGCTATTTACGTTCACATTGTAATAAACGCGGATACGCGAGAAGATTGCTTTCAGCCCGAGGGTAATAGTGCAATAAAGCCACACCCGGTGCAAAGCCATTCTCAAGGTCAAACAGAGATAGCAAAAGCAGCACCTCCTCCTCCCACTCAGACAGCGTACAAGAATGGTAAGGCCTTTTCACAAATCGACATCTCATAGTTCACATGAGTGCGATATACCAATAAAAAAGCTAGGGGAGGGACCTAAGTGAAACGGAGGGGTGTCGTGATAGGCGCAAGCAGAAACGTCCCCAGGACAAGTCGTCGGGGAATACCAGCGCACACCACAGCACGGAGGATAGATAGTACTCACCCCCTCCACACAGCACTCTATAGCGTGCCTCATTAGCAGCGTGCGCTAGCAAAGGGAAGGGTTGTGCCGTGAGAGTGATAATACCAGATTGGTTTATAGACACAGGTGCTTGCGCTAATGTATTGGCCTTGGACATCATATCGAAGAGTTACAACGTAAATTCCTCACCGCAAATTCAAATGGAGGCCTAGTAACGCTGATCAAGGAGTTTCAGGTACTCAGCTGAGCATCAAAGAATGGTGGACGCTACCACCAGATTCTCAAGACGGGTACGCTCTTCACGCGGGATTCTTTATATAGTTCAGCAGTTCAACTTGCCAGCTGGACGGGTTACTTGGTTCACCAACTCTCGAAAGAATACGATAGATGTTCATCCACGTACAATAGTGTTACGCTTTTAAAGTTGCGTTTCCTACACAGCAATGAGTCATTCTGAACCTTGCTCACCGCCAGGACGAAAGTGTTGGTTCACTCAATCCCATTAAGAGGAAGGCGGATCAGCGCCAGAGATATCTCGACCCTCAACCACACACCTCCCCAGCGTGATTACAGCAGCAAGAGCTGGACGATCGTACCAGCAGTGTTGAAGAGTACTCATTACAAAAATGAGGAAATCACCAAAGCAACTGTCGAACTACCCAACGGCACACGGGCACAGATGTAGTAAGGGTCTCCCGGAAACATGCAAGGTAAAGGGGCTGTCATGTGAATCTACCCCTGAGCACAATACGCCCTGGTGGTTTGACCGGACGTACTGATTCTAAATTGAACAGGCGTTCAACGAATCTTAAAGAAAGGATGTTATTTGGTAGTGATTTTCTAGTATATCACAACAATGTCGAAGTGTGGCAATCCAAATAAATCTCACCCGAGGTATTGAAAGGTGAATTGCCAACAGAGACCCGACTGGCCAGGACAGATCAACAGCCACATGTTGGAAAGGTGGTCGATCATCCACAGGGCAAGACACGCCTGTTGGAGCTGATTGCTGACTACAGAAATATAGTAGCTCTGCCAGGGGAACCGCTTAGGTCAGACAGAGATTTAACATCCCATCATATAGCGTTAAAGGAAGGAACTAAACCTATTTACGTACCAGCTTATAGACTTACCCTGGCAGCTGCCAGCGCGCTGTAGTGCAAGATATGGTACAGGGCATGTTAGATGAGAATGTCATTAGACACTCAAAATCCTTTAATAGCCCATTATTCCTCATTCCCGAAAAAGGATGTAGGATGGCGCCTGTCATAGATTTCAGGCGCGTAATGATCAACAACCTTGATAGGTATCCAATGCCTATCTTGAGTGACATTACTGCAACCTTAGGCAAGGATAATGGTACGAAGTAACTGAGATTTGCTTTAGTGGGTATTGGCAAATACCACCTCGATGAAAAATCACGAGAAATCACTGCATTTAGCACGCCTCTAGGCCACTTTTGAGTTTCTACGAATGCCATTTGGTCTCAGAAATGCCCCACTAACATTTCAAAGAATGATCAACACCTGTTTGCTTGACCACTGGTAACACAGTCTGCGCTTTATTTGGATGATCTAATAGTAGTCAGTAAGGACGTCGTTTCCATCTGATAAACTGCGTAAGTTTTGGCCAACTTCCCACAGCAGGCTCCCAAAATAAAACTCTCAAAGTAGCTTTAAAATCCAGAATCCATTTCTTGGTCATGTAGTTGACGGTGAGGGCATACACACAGTTAATGATAAAGTCAAAGCTGTGGGTCTCAGTTCCCGCGTCCTACCTCAAATGATCATGTATGTAGCCTTCTCGGATTATCTGCTATAATCGTTCTTTATCAAGGACTATGCAACATTAGCATCGCCCTGAACGAGGTTGCTCAAAAAAGATGCAGTGTTTATATAGGATGCTGAAACACGAGGAAAGCATTACACCGCTTGAAGATAGCGCCAACCAATGCCCCCGGTTCTAGCATTCCAGACCACTCAACCTCACTCTGGGTACCGACGCCCCGAATTGAGTCGGAGCAGTGCCTGCGCAAGAGGACACGCGAAGTTTAGAGTGATAGCATTTGCAAGTCGCAAACTAATTCCCATGCTGAAACACGCTATTCGCGACGATTTAGAAACAAGTAGCCGTTGTGTGGGCACTTAGTTCACATGACATTATCTTGGCTACAAGATAACTGTTTTACTGATCATGCGGCAGCTACCGAACTGTTCCAGCGGCAGAAACCTTTCTGATTAGCAGATTAGCACGCTGGTATCTGGACACCAAGAGTTTGGACCTCGAATTTAGGTATTTACTCGATGGCGAATGTTGTCGCCGACGTTCTGTCAAGAAATATAGCACCAGTAATGCCTGTATCAGCATCTGCCTTTTACTGTGAGACACACACACACAAGTTCATGATTGCGGGCAGCAATTCACATTATTAATCAAGAAATTAAAGAAAGGATGTTATTTCAGTGATTTCAGTATATCACAACAATGTCGAAGTGCAACCAAATAAATTCTAACCGAGGTATTGCTGCAAATCGCCAACAGATCGACTACCAGGTAGATCAAATAGCGCCACATGTTAAGGTGATCGATCCACAGGGCAAGCATACGCTTTAGAGCTGCTTATTTACTCACAGGAAATATAGTAAAGTTCTCGGTTAGGTAGTGCTAACAGATGATTTAACATCCCACTA